CCCCTGGGGAGCGGGCCTAAGCCAGCAGGTGGACATCCCCTGAGGGGTCCCAGACTGCAAGAAGGCACAGGCCGGCTGAGAGACCCCCCCGAGTGCACAAATTTTTGTGCACTGGGCCTCTAGTAATTACTATAATCAGGTGACTATGATCAATGTCTTTTAAGGGGTTTGGGACAAATATAGGTGGATGCATTTGTTGAACTCATAGAATGCTACAATTTGGAAATTTTAAATTTCATTGTATATAAAAATTCACCTTTATAAAGTGTAAGGATTTTAGTTAATAATATGCATTTGAAGTGTTTTGGTAAATTAATATATGTCTGCAACTTTGAAATGTATCAAAAGCATTCTATCTTATAATAAGATGGAATGATGGATTGAAGACTGATAGATATGTGATAAAGCAAAAGTAGTAAAATGATAATTGGATATGAGTGTGTTACCTTCAACGTTTAAAACTATAAGGAAAACAATCAGGTCATGAATTATAAAACTGGAAGGGCAAAATCCACTTTGTGACACAGAATTCTTAATTTTTATTTTGCTTATGACATATTACATTGTCATAAATGTACCTACAAGTCTAAGGTTCAACTTTTGCAAAATTAGAGCATCTTTTAAAGTAATAATGGTAATATTAAAGAAAGCTAACAGCCATAAATGTTCCCTGCATTCTATACATTAATATATACCACAAATTTCCTAATTTCAATGAGGAGTTTCTAGATGTCTACTAAAACAAACAGATCACATGTCAACAGCTTAATGTGGTAAACCTAAAGAGAATAGGCAAATTAAGTATACATGAGTAAACACAGAAAAACAAAAGTCAAACACCTAAACTAAATCCAGTATAAGCATTTATCTCCAAGGAACATACATTTTTCATGATTATTATAGTGTCTGGATTTACTATACACCTGTACATTAAAATTGGTCTATATCACATCTGTTTCTGAGATAAAATGAAAAGAAATTCAGTTCTAAACTAAACCTGAAAATGGAGAACCAGCAAATACCCAGCTGCATAGAACTTGAATAAATGTGCCTAACTCTATGTTCTGTCCACCTGGAAACATGAATAAAATAAAATTAAGGTTAACAAATGTTTTATCAATATTTACAACACCATCTATTTTAGCTGGATCCATTTTAAGTAATCATTGTAAGTACTATATCTTCTTGCAACAGCAAATCCTATATAATAAAAGCTTAATAATTATGCTAAGAGTCCTACCATTTGTTCGACCGTTCAACCAGTTCCTATGATGTGCACTAACCATCAGAGGGCAGACGCTCCAACCAGTAGGTTAGCTTGCTGCTGGGATCCAGCTGATTAGGACTGGGAAAGAAGGGCCAGACACGCCCTGGAGCCCTCCTGCAATCCCTCCCCGGCCTTGATGGTGCACTGGTGGGGTCCTTCTGCCTGGCATGCCCTCTCACAATCTGGGACCCCTCAGGGGATGTTGGGGAGCTGGTTTCGGCCCAATCCTCGCAGGCCAGGCCGAGGGACCCACTGGTGCACAGATCGTACCGGGCCTCTAGTTGTTTAAGTGCAGAATCAATAAACATCTAAGTGGACATGCTATAACAGGGAGAATGCAATAGAGTTCTAGAAACTTTAAAAGTTTTAACAAATCAATATATAGATTCCATATCCATTAAGATATTCAGTGTTCTTAAAGCACATAAAGAAATGTTTGTCAAGTAAATATTATAGCTGGAAAAATCAAAATAATAAATTAATACATCTAAATAAAACAAAGTCCTCAGTCCATTCCCTTAATACTTGGTAGATCACTTTTGTGATTCATTAAAAACAGGGAACCGAAACCAGTTTGGCTCAGTGGATAGAGCATTGGCCTGCAGACTGAAGGGTCCCAGGTTCGATTCCAGTCAAGGGCATGTACCTTGGTTGCGGGCACATCCCCAGTGGGAGATGTGCAGGAGGCAGCTGATCGGTGTTTCTCTCTCATCGATGTTTCTAACTTTCTATCTCTCTCCCTTCCTCCCTGTAAAAAAATCAATAAAATATAATTTAAAATAAGTAAATAAATAAATAAACAGGGAACTAATAACTACACTAAAATTGTCATACTGGTTTGGCTCAGTGGATAGAGCATCGGCCTGCAGACTTAAGGGTTGCAGATTCGATTCTGGCCAAGGGCACATGCCCAGGTTGCAGGCTTGATCCCCAGTAGGGGGCGTGCAGAAGGCAGCCAATCAATTATTCTCTTTTATCATTGATGTTTCTATCGTTCTCCCCCTCTCCTTTCCTCTCTGAAATCAATAAAGAAATATATTTAAACCAAGAGTAGTTCAAAACTTTGGAAAACATAAAAAAAAATATTGTCATATTATACCTACACAAGCTAGGTTTTTGTTTAAGGTGAAGAAGCGAATTCTTTTTGATAGTTTTTCAGTTTTAATCTTGTCACACAATGCTAATTAATATTATTGAACAATTACTGATCCCTAATTTAAGACACATACTATGTCATAAACACACATCTAGATATCTCCACATTTTTATATTATAGCCCTGGCCAGTGTTGCTTAGTAGTTAGTGTTGATCCACACACGGAAGCATCATGGGTTCGATTTCCGATCAAAGGCAGTACCTGGGTTGCAGGTTCAATCCCCACGACCTGCTCAGGGGCAACCAATCGATGTGTCTCTCTCACTTCAATGTTTCTCCCCACCCGCTTCCACCCTCTCTAAAATTCAACAGAAAAACTATCCTCAGATAAGGATTAAAATAATAATAATAAAAATTAAAAGGTTATTATAAAAATTTGAATCATTTTCAAATGGTTACCTGTTAAATATGAAAGTTCAGTTTTAAAGAAAACAGAAAATTATAAAAAATTCTATACTAAAATAAAGGACACTTCAAAATTAAGTAAAATTTATACTTCTACTTCACTGACTTGGCAATCATAATATTAAAGACATTTAAAAGAGAGTTTTTGTTTTTATCACCATTGTTTTCTATCTCACTATACTGAGTTACAAAAGTAAATTGAAACTAAAGGCATTAATAAATCCTGAAGGTTTTTTAGTGTTTTGGTTTTTCTGGTGGTGGTGGTGTTTTTTTTAGCTAATCCTGAAATCAGGAAAACACTCTAAAATGGGGAAAGTAACACGAAAAGATCATAAAACTGGCTAGGGAACAGGACATCAAGTTCCTATATGAACATCCAAATAAAGTTCCTAGCTATTTTCAGAAAGGCAATGTCCTGCCTTCTAGTATGGTTAATTACAGAAAGAGAAAAAATTAAACATTTTTAAAGTATATACCGTATAAAAAACACAAGCTTTTACCAAATAAATCTTTAAAAGTGCTTAATGTCCTGACCAGTTTGGCTCGGTGGATAGAGCGTTGGCCTGCGGACTGAAGGGTCCTAGGTTCTATTCCAGTCAAGGACATGTACCTTGGTTGCAGGCACATCCCCAGTGCGGGGTTGTGCAGGAGGCAGCTGATTGATGTTTCTCTCTCATCGATGTTTCTAAACTCTCTATCCCTCTCCCTTCTCTGTAAAAAATCAATAAAATATATTTTTTTTAAAAAAATTAAATTAAATTAAAAAGTGCTTAATATATACCTTCTTCTGGAGTTTTTCCACAAATCCAATGGGATTTTTTAGTGCTTCTTTCTGGTGTCTGCTTAAACTTTCAAGATCCTGGACTGCTTGAGAACGTTGAGCCTCGAGTACAGCAATCGTCTGCAATAGTCTCTGATAACTATAGAGACAAAGAAAAATACCTCACTAAAACTTTCTAATAACAACAATAAACAAAAACTGACTTCAAACCATAATCTACTATTAAGTCACAGTCTTTTTAAAGTTACCTGAAAGAGTTTAGTAAAACATATTACTGGGAATAAATGAGGTCTTCCTGAGTTACGAAGTACCTTATTCCTCCCTTAAAAATGTATTTGATTGATTTTGAGAGAGAGAGCAAGGGAGAAGAAAGGAGGAGAGAGAGACATCCATTTGTTGTTCCACATATCCATGCATTCACTGGTTGATTCTTGTACGTGCCCTGACCGGGGACTAAACCTGTAACTTTGGCCTTTGGTATATGAGAACATGCTCTAACAGAGCTACCTGGCTGGGGCCTTCCCCATGCTTTAATTCTTGAAGCTGAACAAGTACAGGCAACAAGAAAGTATCTTGACTTTCCAACAATCAAAGTCATCAAGAAACTGCTAAACTAAAAAAAATTTAAACCATAAGATATCAGCACTAGGAGGGATCACCAAATTTAGCAGCTCTGTTGTACTCTATGGAATAAGGAATCTGAGGTACGTTTTCTTGCTCAAAATTACAGAAAACTGTCACATAATTCAACATGATCTTCTGTGTCATGCTTCTCATTTGCTCTACTACACTGTTCTATAGGAAGTTAACTTTCATCTCAATTTTTAAGTATTGAATATTTTTAAAGAAAGTAGGCCAGTAAGATTTTTTACTTCCCTGCCTACAAAAGTCCATTTAGCACAGCTAACAAATTTACCCACACAAATCTACTACCTGTCATTATATTGAAATCTCACTATGATACATGTATACTAATTAATTTCCTCCCTCCCCTTCTCCCCCTCCAGTTCAAATTGTCTTGCTTTTCTGATTAAGGTCTAATTTCACATATAAATACACATATGTAAACATGTTGACCCAAAACCCTGAATACTCAAATATATTTTGCAAAAAAAATCAAGAACAGGGGGGTAGGGGAGGCCAGAGTGAAGTTAGGGTTTTTCAGGGAAAAAAGGAGATATATGTGTACTACTATGTAATACTTTAAACAATAAAATAAAATTTAAAAAAATAAACATCAACTCTGTAGAGCTTGCAGAGGTTTTGATTCCAAAAAAAAGAAAAGAATCAAGAACAAGTCACTCTATTTTGCTTCAAAATAAGTGGTTAAGCCCTAGCTGGTTTGGCTCAGTGGACAGAGCGTCGGCCTTCAGACTAAAGGTCCCTGGTTCGATTAGGGTCAAGGGCACATGCCCGAGTTGCAGGCTCAAGGCAGTAGGGGGCATGCAAGAGGCAGCCGATCAATTATTCTCTCTCATCATTGATGTTTCTCTCTCTCTCTCCCTCTCCCTTCCTCTCTGAAATCAATAACAATATATTTAAAAAACAGTAAGTGGTTAAGTCCTTAAAGCATTAATGACGCACAATTTTTTAAATTAAATCTTTATTGTTCAGAGTATTAAATATGCCCCCCATTGACCCCTTCTAATTCACCCCCACTCGAGGCCTTCACCATCCTACTGTCTGTGTCCATGATTTACGCATACAGGTTCTTTGGTTGATCTCTTTCCACCCACCAGCCCTAC